TGGAGAAGTATCTGAACACTTCCCTCTACGCGGATTGCTCTTCGCACGTCTACGACTGTGGCCGGCGGCCTCCGGGGGCTAGCATACCGTCAAATCTTGCGTAGGTGGCCTCTCACAAATCTGGAAGTGTTGAGGCGGTTGCAAACGCCCAGCACGCGTCTCCGGGGAGTCACCAGGGCTCGCCACGTGGCGGATCTATGCCGACGGCTTTGCCGTAGGCATACCTCTGCTGCCAGGAGTAACCAGAAGACGACACGTGGCATTGCATGATTCGTCCGCGTTTTTGACGGCGCCGTCCATTGCCGTCAGACGAAAAAGACTGCCGACGGCTATACTATGCCGACGGCTGACGCTAGGCCGTCGGCATAGGCCCCTATGCCGACGGCTTTACTATGCCGACGGTCTGACAAGACTACGCCGATGGGTCTATGCCGACGGCAGCCGTAGGCATAGACCTATGCCGACGGCTTGGGGGCCTATGCCGACGGCCCTCGGCCGTAGGCATAGACCGCGAGTCCGGTAGTGCTCAATCAAAAAATAAAACAAAACATCATCCATTTAGACGTTCCAAGAGAAATAAACCGAAGCAAAATGCCATATGTGCGCATATAGAACCTCAGATCTCTCGATAATCAATGGCGGTGAGATTGCGGTCTGCCATCCGGCTGTGAACGGTGCCAGCATGGCATGCTCCTTATCAACCCTAGTGAGAACAAAATAAGTAAATCACCAACAACCTGTAAATAATGCAGATCATGCATGCATAACGCATACACTATCAACTATTTTCTCTTATCATACCCATGTTCCTGAACAGATTCTGACCGTTCGGAAGCCACCTGATCGGGCCGAGGCATCTGACTGGAGTAGGCCACGAGGAGTCGTCATCTTCCCCAAGATGAATGTTGGCTCTCGCAAGAGTACTTGGAGTAATACATGAGGGGACTCTCACCTATATATAGTGTAGCAACAGACTTGCTAGTTGGCGAGCGCAGCCTGGCAGCAATTTCGTCAAACGTCGCGACGTAGATAGTCTCTGTCTGGTATCTACGTACGCCCACGGCACCTCGGCCTTACCCTTGACCAGCTTAACCGCGATCAAGCCGTTACGTGCACGTGATTAACACTGCTGGCCGCGCCGCCGCTTGACGTCTTCTGATCTTGCTGTTCCGCTCCACATCTTCCAGATTGACGGGGAGAAAATTCTAAGGCCACAGCTACGGCAAATGACGCCGCTCTCAAGTGCCAGTTGCCAGTTACAAATGCACACCTTCATGTTTAGTACTCCCTCCGTAAAGAAATTAGTGATCCAAATGCTCTTATATTTCTTTATACAAGCAGTAGCTAGCTATTTTGCCTCAAGGTTTTCTTTTGAGTCATCAACTAATGAAGTCCATGTCGATTTATTAGACTAATGTTGAATAATCGAGTTTATGCAAACGACTAGTACCTCCACATCATCATCAAGTAATGATGATGTACCTCCATATTTTGTTTCGGTTCCGCTTCCCCACCTTAGTTTGCCTTCTTCAAATCTGAGCCCAACGATAAGTTTCTAGGCGTGTCTTTCTCTTGTATGATTCTCCAAACTAACTCATCATAGATGAAGGAGTGTACGTACAACCACATACCCCATATGTACAACATGCTATGTCCATTGCATTGGAAAACTTGTGTAAAACACTAAGAAAATCCTGCAAATTGATTAAATAATATTTGTCCATGGTGTAATTTCCTAAATTCATTTTTGGATAGTACCATCATGTCTGGCATGTCGATTCAGTCAAAATGGACATATGTTTTGCCTAATTCGTAGTTCGAGCGGAGACGATGAAGTAAAGGAATTGTGAGTTTGATGACTTGATGGCATTAGTGATGATATAGTCCCATGCAAGTTTTCCCTGCAGGATTGGATTGCTCATTTTGTCCCAGAATTGGGCATCTCTATTTTGGTACGGACATAAGTATTACAATTAATTACTACTCTGTAAATCATAGTGTCATTTTGACTACATAGGATCAGCGGCAGAAACTTTTCATCCAATGTGGATGAGTGCAAATTTAAGCCTGGCGATAACTTTATCAGTGTTGTCATTTTCCACACTAATTCATCTCTCGAAACAGGCTCTACCACCCCGCTTTTATAAATAAAGCATGAACCAAAGTAAATAGCCAAATGTACAAGGTAGTGAGACAATCTTCTTACAAAGCAATCCCGAAGTAAACGGACACCATAAAACACACGTGACTACACTACAAAAAAGAAAAAACACACACACATAGGAAGGCCTTGAGACAATGTCACGTCACTCCGTAGGACACCTAAACTCCACGACAACACCCTCAGGAGGGAAATTAATGCTAAGCGTCACTGCTGCCGAGTCTGAAACGGACAATGGTCTTCACTCGAAACCTTGGCACAAAGAGGAGAACCACAACAACGTCCTCGATAGGAGAGCGATACTCGCGTGCGTCGCCGTTGTCGGTGCCAAAGGACGGAGCTTTCGCCCGATAGCTCACTTGTGCAACCACGAGGCACATAGGACAACCATGACTAGCCCATACTTCCAGATCGAGATCTAGGCATCACCACCTCCATCGACAGAGAGCAAGCCCGAGCCACCCAGAGCTACTACACCCCTCGCCACCCACACGACAAAGAGGCATAGCCACCACCAGCGCCATGATGATCGCCAGAGAGCCAACCACGTGGATCGCCATCCGAGGATAGTACCACAACATCAATGTCCCGAGATACCACCAACCATCCACATCACAGCACACATAACTCGGTAGGAAGAGCACGGGGCAACTCCTTCCACTCATAGTTTGGCATCAGCGACCGAGTTTGCGTCCATGCCTCCACCGTAGGAAGCACCCATGCCTATGTCCTTAACCAGTGCGGTGGACTAGGAAGGGGGACACTGTCGATGGCCTCCACCGAGCAAACATCGGCCATAGCACTATGTCCTTAGCCCAGACGAGCTCGCACGATGCCACATCCGTGGCCTTCGGCGTTAATCCATCCGATAGTGCAACGGTGCCACCGTCACCACCACCGCTCACCGCGCGCGCGAGGAAAGGAACCTCCCGCGGGCACCACTCAGACCGAACCAAAGCCTAACCTATCTGGAGTGACAACCCTGACCCACCTCAGGCCCACATATGGCCCACCCAAGCGCGAGCCCTAGGTCAGAACCACCGCCTTCGTGCATGCAGTAGGAACCATTTGGCGCCCGCCCAGCTCCGTGCTACTGGCTCGGACCCAGAAGAAGGGAGGTTGTCACCGCACCCACCATGCACACCCCCCTCACTTGCGCTGGGGCACCGCCATGCGCCAAGCCACTTGTAGTTGCTGGAGACCATATCTCAATTGAAGCACAAAATCAAGCCGTCGCCACCACCGTGCAACCCACCCCATTGTTGGCCAGCACCCACAGGCCCGCCGCCAGAGCCCGCCACAAAGCCGACGCGCCCAGCACTAGCGCACCGCCCGCCTGATCCGCCTACCACCATTGTCCCCTTCGCACCAGATGCGCGAATCACCCGCCATCCTATGTCGTCGGCATGGCCATATGCTCTCCGCCGCTGCCCCTAGTGAGTGGCACGTCCTCTGAGATGCGTCGTAGTCTGCACTACAAGCGACCCGTGAAACAAAGAGATGCCCCTGCCCCCGCCGCCTATTCTGACCGAGCTTCGCCTGGCGGCGTGGTCCAGTGGCAGCGAGGAGGGAGGCAATGTAACACCCTCGATGCGACTATATCTCCCACGTGTCGAGGCACGACTTAGAGGCATAATTGCATTGAAGGCATATGTTGCAAGTTAGGCAATCTTCACAACATCCCATGTAATATAATAATGAAAGGGGAGATAACATAGTTGGCTTACACTCACCACGTCAATCAAGTACATAAATAACATTACATCATCCAAACACTCATGGCCCGACTACGGCGCCAAAATAAAAGAGAACCCAGCATGCGACAACGGTCCCGTTCACCCCCAACTGGGCACCACTACTGATCTTCGGGAAAGGAAACATAGTATCGTTGAGAGTCTTTGTCGAACTCCCACTTGAGCTCATACGCGTCTCCTGGAGCGGAATCATCAGGCCCTGCATCTGGTGTAATAGTAATCTGTGAGCCACAGGGACTCAACAATCTCGCACCCTCGCGATCAAGACTATTTAAGCTTATAGGTAAGGCAAGGTAAAATATGAGTGGAGCTGCAACAAGCGACTAGCAAGTATGGTGGCTAACTTATTCGCAAAAGAGAGCGAGAAGAGGAGGCAAAGCGCGAGCGAGAAACTAGAGAGCAACCTGCACAAACATTACTCCAACACCGTGTCCACTTCCCGGACTCTGCCGAGAAGAGGCCATCACGGTAACACACTCAGTTGATTCATTTTAATTAATTAAGGTTCAAGTTATCTACAACTGGACATTAAAAAATTCCCATCTGCCCATAACCGTGGGCATGGCTTTCGAAATTTCAAATCCCTGCAGGGGAGTCCCAACTTAGCCCATGACAAGCTCTCACGGTCAACGAAGGAATAGACCTCCTCCCAAGATGTTCCGATCAGACTCGGTATCTCGGTTCTTCAAGACACTTCGACAGGTTAAAACAAGACCAACAACACCGCCCGAATGTGCCGACAAATCCCGATAGGAGCTGCACATATCTCGTTCTCAGGGCACACTCAGATGAGACATCCTACGAGTAAAACCAACCCTCAAGTTGCCCCGAGGTGGCCCCGCAGTCTACTCGGTCGGACCAACACTCAGAGGAGCACTGGCCCAGGGGGGGTTTAAAATAAGATGACCCTCGGGCTCCGGAAACCCAGGGGAAAAGAGGCTAGGTGGCGAATGGTAAAACCAAGGTTGGGCATTGCTGGAAAAGCTTTAATCAAGGCGAACTATCAAGGAGTTCCCATTATAACCCAACCGCGTAAGGAACGCAAAATCCGGGAACATAACACCGATATGACGGAAACTAGGGCGGCAAGAGTGGAACAAAACACTCGGCGAGAGGCCGAGCCTTCCACCCTTTACCAAGTGTATAGATGCATTAAGATAACAAGGTAATATAATGATATCCCAACAAGTAAATAAATGTACCAAAAAGGAACGGCCTTCAATCTTCACCTACAACTAGCAACGTTATAAGAGGGGCTGAGCAAAGCGGTAACATAGCCAATCAACGGTTTGCTAGGACAATGGTGGGTTAGAGGTTTGACATGACAATTTGGGAGGCTTGAAAGCAAGTGGTAGGCATCGTAGCAATGGCATAGCAAAAGAGCGAGCAAACTAGCATAACAAAGATAGTAGTGATTTCGAGGGTATGATCATCTTGCCTGCACAGTTGTTAGAGTTGACTGGATCCTCGAAAGCAAACTCAACGGGCTCCTCGTTAGCGAACTCGTCTCCCGGCTCTACCCAAACAAGACAAACAAGCAACAAGGATACAATCAACCACGTGCAAGGATCAAGCAATATGATGCAATGATGATATGCTATGCGGGATGCGATGCGGGATGCCAAATGCAAGATATGACAGGAAATGCATGAACCTGGCCTCAACTTGGAAATCCAAGTGTGCCACTGGAAAGATAAGATGAAATCGCTTGAAAACAATATAAAGAACACCGGAATCGGAGTTACGGTTTGGAAATGGCAAGCGATTCAAATATGGCACCGGTCTGCAATTTACAGCAAGTAGCCATCTAAATGCAACGAAATGAACAAGCTAAAGCACACAAACATGACAACAAAATACATGGCAGGGATGCACACAAGATGCTTAACAAAAGTCTAGCATTGAGCTACGGCCAATTCATCCATTAACAGGTTCAAACAAG